TGGTCATAGCCAAGTTGACCAGAATTTCTTCTCAAAGAAGATTTGCACTAACATCATAAGCCTCCTCAGCTTTTCAGCATTACTTTCCTGGGCTTATAATATAACATTGCTTTCCATCAGGGACACACAGAGAAGCTAATGATTCATAGTCCCTACAGGTATGAAGTAGTTAAAGAACTGAATGCAATTCCTTCTATTGTAATTATGTTGATAGATTTGACAGGCCTAGAAACCTTAAAAACATCTTAAAAGCAGTCTTCCTTATGTAAACGAGAAGCTGTTAAACTAAAAGGGAATGGAAGAAGCAACACACAATTGCCTGTTGCTAAGCCCTTAATTTCCTCTTCTGTAAGGCAGCAATTCCTCCATTTATGCTTTGGTGCTACAAAGCAATGAGATATGATGACAGATTTGATTACCCCAAATTTGTCTCTTCCTGTTTTTTTGGTGATTATAACCTAATATTCTTATGCTGCTTAGAGTTGAGGATATTGCCAAGGATGATTCTGATAGTCTTAGTGGGAAAAATAAACCGTAAAAAATTGTACTGATTCTCCTCAAAGGGTGATTTGATACATGGATCATTAGGGCTGTATACTAGTAAAGCCTTTTTCTGTTACAGGATTCATTCTTGGGTATGAGGAAATGAGGAAGCAYCTACTAGGTCATTGTCAGTGCCCTGAAGAGTATCAGTCACTGTGTCAGGTCTCTAAATTTAGCTCCTTGTGTTCTGTGCAAGTTCTATGCTTCAGAAGATTCACTTAAGATTCACAGATCTTTTTTTTTAGCTGAAAAAAGCAGTTTTATAAATTCATTAAATTGATACGCTGTACCATGATCTCAGGTACTGATTGCCATCTAACTTAGGTTTTAGAAACTGGAATGAGCAAAGCAATCTACTGACAGTTATAATAAGGCTATTTTTTTTGGTATTCACTTTTTTTGTTAAACAAATTAGTGTCTGTGTATTGACAAAGAAAGGCACATATTTTAACAAGAGCAGAAGCTGGACCAAAAAGAAGATAACATTTTGTCTATAGAGCAAACTGCTATTGTTCTCCTTATTCATGATACTGAGTCCTCAAGACACAGCACGAACTAAAATGGCCCATCAAACTCAAGTTGTATAAAGAAAATGAAACAGTCTCCTTTCCAGAGTGATGTACAAAGTAAATCTTGTGTGATAAGACTAGAGTATTTTAAGCAAAAATTTCCCCCTCCCAGGCTAACACTTCTATAAGCACCCTGTAACTTGCCCTCAGTTTCTGCCCTCAGCATTTTTTTGTAGCGGCATGATAGACATTTTGAGACTTTAGAAGTCAATTTAACATGGCAGGCTTCAAGACTGTTAAATCTAGATTTTTTGAAACTGGAGAAGGATTAGCTGAGGACAGTTATGTCAAACTGCTTGTTTTCTTCCAGAGGTTCAGTTGTAAGGAATAGAAAACCGTGGACAGATTTCCACTTTGTTGGCTTCTCCTAACATAACACAGAAGGTACTTCAATGGCAGAAGTCATACTAAAGAAAAACGTAAGGTTACTAAATACAAGATGGCCACAACCTTATCTGCACTGGTGAATCATGGGAGAGTAAAAGCTGTCCAAGAAGTAGCCAGTGCTGGCTGGGATTATATGTAACCAGGGGAAAAAGCAGATGTACAGGTACTGGGATTCTTGTGGCATCATCCCCTAAAAAAAAAGAAAGAGAAAGAAAAGAAAAAAAAAGTTCTTTGCCAGTCTATCTCATGAGGGAAGTTTTAGAAAAAGCTTCTGACTTCCTCTTGAGGTCAATATTTTCCTTTGTGTGTGGTAAGTAGTTGGTGTGTCCTTTCAAAAACTGTGAAGAATTTCCTTTTATAACTAGGAAGTCAGTTTTTGCAAGCAGCATAAGCTAGATAAAAGACTTTTTTTTTTTCCTTCCTAGCCATAGCTATAGCTTTGTGGTTGTAGAATGCAGAGTTTCAGCAGAAGGTAACACAGTTAATTCTATCTTCATTTCCACCCACAGCTCTCAAGGAATACTTAAAAATTTTGACCTTGAATYTGAACCAGGAGTTCCACCTCAGTCAAAAGGTATTCTTTATAGTTGAAGTCTCTAGTGAAATACAGCATGATGAAAGAATAAAGCTTCCCTCAGAATTATTTACTGAGCAAATTAAAGGCAAACATAACTTCTGATTATACTTTTTATAAAGGAACCAGAATGTGAGAAATAGGAGGCTCACAGTAGAATTGAAACTGACATGCATTTCGCAGTAAAAGAAAAATAGTTCACTAAATAATTACCTGAGTAAATGATATGGCCTTCTTAAAAAGCACAATGAAATGGAATAGCATTTTAAACAGTAATATGTTGCAATATTGTATTTGATATGAGGTTCAGGAWCTCAGAATATTTTAAACTGGACTTAATTTTTTCTATGGTTTCATATTTTACATTAAATGCCAACAAATAACGGAGAGTAGACTAAAACACATTAAATTGCTCATGAATCACAAGTTAGGTGACATGTGGAATGCATATTACTTAGCACCCAAAGCCCATGTATTAACTGCATAAAATTCCAGTAAATATTGAAATTGTAGTCTGTTAACTGCAATTACAACAGTTCAAGCCTTTCTGAAATCAGGTGATGGTTGATTAATAAATCCTTGATGAGATTACAAAACAGAAAAACAACTCTGATCAGACAGAGGATTCCTAGGATACTGAATGAGCTTGGGACCRTTCATAGGTTCTCACTTGCATAGTTTCCGTACAATGGGGTCAATAGTTATGTTAATTTTAGGTGAAAACTGAAAATGTAAGCATACTATAAAGGAAATGAGAGAGGGAGTCTATACTGATTGCAGACAGAAGTCAAGACTCCAGAAGTGATGAGCTCATTTAAAACTTCCAAAATCCATGTTCGTGTTTTTAAATAAGGCTGATGTAGTTTAGGGAATGTAGAAATTTGAAACTGATTAAACTTTAACATAACTGAGGTTCAAATTAAGCACATTTATTGCCGGTGACTAGCAGGTTACACTTGGTTTTTTTTACCTTGAGGAAAACAAAGAAGACATATAACTTTAGGTATGATTTGTAGTTGCAGCTACTCTCATGTGGTAAGCAATTGTGGTAATTCCACAAGAGCAGCAAACATTATATATAAAAAAAAAAAAAAAAGATTTTTTTTTTTTTAAGATTAGTAAAAACAGTAGCATAGCATATATAAAAAAAAAGGTTGCTACACAGTTCTAAGGATATAGCTTATTCTGTCATTRTTTTCTGGTGTAGGAGCAAGAAAGGGAGACAACAGACTCCTTTTTCATCCATGCCAGCCATGTAAAAGTAAGTGTTTGTAGGGCACTGAAATAACCTCTTAAGTGTAACTCAGCTGCTGCTGAAAATAACAGATTTTAGTGTTCAAATGAACATCAGGTAATTGTTAGAAACATAAGTTCCTAAAGAGAGATCCCAATATTTTAGTATTGCTGAGTACCAGCATGCTGTAATTGCATGCTAAACAACATTCTATATTGTATTAGTGATAGATGAAGTATTAAGTATAGAATTAAAGCTTCTCTGATGAACTGTTGAGCATATATGAAACTAAGGCTCCCACTTTCAGAAGAACAAAGTTTAATTGAATGTGCCAAAAAGATAGTGAAAAGGATAACAACTTGCAGTTAGAGAGAATCTAGCTATTCACCAAATTAAAGATGCAAAAGTGTGGATTTCTGTGATTCTATTTTATAGCAAGCAAGGAGAAAATCTTTCTCCATGAATAAAAATGAAAAGGGATGGCAGGAGGAGAACCAAAACAGAAAAGCAAAAATGATATCTTAGAAGGCAAGAATTATTGKGATAACAAGAGGATTGAAAATGTTTTCAAAAGTCAGACATTACAGAAAAAAGAACTCCAAAACACAAGACAAATATAAAGACAAAATTTGTCTTTGTAGCCTCACTAGCCTAATCTTCTTTTCTTAGTTATATTCCTTTTTAGAAAGACAACTGAGGTCATAAAAGAAAGGCATCTTCAAACAAGAATAACCTGGGACACATTATTATAAAGGGTAAACACTAGCTTCAGAGGCTCAGATCACTCAAGYTCTTGCATGTTTTAATGTGTTTTAAAGAATGAATATATTCCCAGCTAAAAGCTTCATTAACTTYGTTGTATTTGGGTAGCAAATAGTTGAAAATTAGAAATAGAGTTCTATTATTTACATATTCTGTACTTCTTGATCTTGACACTGCTTGTAAGAATGTACTAAGATAAAAGAGTTAATTCATCTAATTGCTCCAGCTTTGAACAATCTAAAACACAGCAAAGGAAAAACATTGTGATGTTTACCCCCAAAATGTAGGTCTTGCTCTAAAATTTGTTCAAATACTAACATATTTGTGCTGTTTCAGACTTAATTTTGTCTATTTTCTGTTCTGGGATTATTCCTTATTATCTCACCATGAATGAATTTTCCTTCACCTGTACTTAACTGATGTAGTATGTGGATTCTTAGATGCTGTAACATTCTACTTGCTGTCTTCCAGATTTTCTTTTTTCAAACCAGATGTTGAAGCTTATTGTGTGTTTAATATGATACAGTGTGTACTTAAGATGTTTACAAGTAGTCTGACATAATAAGTACATGCAGTACTGCCATATGAACATCTCAGGTGTAAGCATGTCCAGTCATTCCCTTAATTTCAGTGTCAGGACAGAAGAAAGTTATAATAGAACAGGTGCAATAGCAACAGCTGGGAAGTGGTTAAAAACAGTAACACATTTGAAAAGGAAAATTCATTAAAACATTGGAGAGCCTGAACACAGGCACAACTCTATGCTTTGCTAGGACTTCATGTTCACTGGAAATATGGACATCTYAGAGAAAGAGAATAGTAGTGATACTTTGAAGCCTAGTTTGGTTATTTTTTGCATTTGCTGAGAGCAGTTGCAAACCCCAAGACTACAAGAAGTTTAGCAGTTATATGAAAGAAAGAGTTGACTTACTGAAATAAAAGCCTCTGTCTCCACACACGAACTGAAGAGCATCAACCAGCTCAGCACCACAAAGCGTCTCTGGGCCAGCAGCAGCAGAACTGGTTAAGGTAAGCAAACACAGGCCAAGGTAGAAGAAATGAATGTAGGACACAGTRTGCATCTTCACCTGCCAAAGAAGCAAGAGTACTGTGTCAGATTTTCTCAGCAGAGTCCTAAATAAAATGAGATACTGCACCCTTGTGAGCTGAGAAAGCGTGCGTGGTGCAATTTGTTAAACAAGAATAACCACAACATCAGGAAAGGTCTCACAATAATATTGCAACTTACATATTCCACACATTTTGTAAACTGAGGACTTCCTCTAGTGAATACTCTTGGTTCTCATTCACATGTAGTTAAAGAACCTCCTAGAAGTAGATCATGATTTATGGTTCTTACTGCAAAAAGGAGTTAAGCAAGAATAAGATAGGTGAAGGAACTTGGAAAGACCACAATAGTTAGGGTTAGGAAGACTAGACAACCTTGAATTGTTTTGTCTGAGAACAAGTAGGCTACGAGGGAACATAACTGCTGTATGCTACTGTACTGAGAAAATTAGAGGTTACATATGAAAGAGCTTTTTAAACCCCAAACACTTGGAAACGGATGCACAAAATCAAAAAAGCTTTAAAATAAAGCTTGATAAAGATATGGTGGGATATAAAGATATCCCCTACTTCCAAAGTAGGGGATCAAATTCATTGATTCAGGAATTTCCTTCCAGCCCTCTGTTCCTAGGGAGATAACAGTTGAAAGAATTCAAGAAATTAAAAGGACGTCTCATAAGCGTGTTGATGATTTGCATTTGTGTTTATTGGAAGTATGACTCAATGATCTCTGTTATATTCATTTAGTTCAGATAATGATTGTTTTCTTTCTTACATTTGGTATACAAACTAATTTTTTTCTCAGACATATGGCTAAAGAAGGGCCAGTTCTGTTGGTATAAATCTGAGCTATTCTGCTTGTCTGCTTCCTGTTTTTGTCTATTTATATCGTTCAACACGATGAACAATATGTCAAAGAAGATAGCATTTTTATTGAATACTGTTATTAACATAGTAGGAAAACATTTATGTTGCATAGCAGAGCAGTGTGGCAAAGGCCAAATGAATATTTTGAGCTGCTTTAGTAGACCACTTAACAAAAAAGTTAGTTTCAAAAGATAGAGATCTACATATAACTTGGTCCTATTTCAACGTAAAAGTTAGTACCACAGTCAGGTGAGAAGTTACAAATCCTTCTTACATGTACAATTAGCCTTGGCTCAAAGATTTTTTTTTTCTTAGTAGACAAGTACAAATTGGAGTGAAATGAGTAAAAATCTTTAAGGTTTCAGGGATCATTCTCTCATATTTTTCATTGAACTTTTGAAAACAGTGATTTTTTTTTTTTGTTATCTACTCATATTGGATCTGAGCCACTGTGATAACAAGCCTTTTCTAGTTTAAATCAATAATTTTTAAGAATGCCTTTTTTTCTTGCCAAGGGACCTTAGCACCTTGTGGATAACCCCTATTTCAACTTAAATCAGAGCTGAAGAGGAGAAAAAACAGTAAATAAGTAAGAATGTATTGCCTCTTCCTTTCCCACCCCCCCCTTTTTTTTTCTGATCATATTTCCACCATGAAAATAATGAGTAAATCTGAATCCCATGATATATCATAAAGAGAAAGAACAATTATTTTCCCATTCACAGGAGTCTTTAGCCAACTTTACAATAGAAAAGCCAACAAGCATTAATGCATGGACATGACTTCAATGGCAGAAGGAGGAAGATCAGATTATAAATGAATGATGATAACATAAGGCATTATTTCCTGTAATGTTTCCATATTTTAACAACATCAGTTTCTTTCTTCCCTTGCCATATTTTTGATTTTCTAAGATGAATGTAATGCACCTGCAGTTCAAGATGGTTCCCGGTTCCTAGTTCTGAAGAGGTAAAGCAGAAAGCTGTTTGACACACAGCCTCAGGAGGCTAAAAAACATTATAAATGTRAGAACATTATGTATTTAACAGTTTGTTCTTGTATAACATTTGAGCCAGAAATAAACATAAATCTTAGACATTTAACAATTTTGTGTTTTTTTTAAACTTTTCAGCTGGGTTACATTTTAAGATAAATATCAGCACTGAACTAGGACAAGACAGATTCTTCACTGTTTTTCCTTTAGTGTAAGCCAAAAAAGCTGCACAGTATAAACCACAGAGAATTTCTACACTTTATCCCCAAATTTAAAAACAGTTAAGAACTTGCAAACAAGTAAAAACTTTGGGGAGAAGAAAAGAGACTCATATGTTTCTAGGGACCAATCAATTATATTTAAAAAATAAGTGCTGTTTCATCAAAGCTAATGCCAAAATATGAATTAAAATGTAAACTTTACTTCAACATTTTAATTAAGTATAACACTAGCTAATTCAATATCTTTGTGATAAGATCAAAGTTCCCATTTAAGGCTGAGGGAAATATTCTGAAGAAAATACAAAGATGTAACCCAATATGTCTTCAGGTTCTTTACAAACAGAGAGGGTRCTTATAATGTCCCCACTTTGCCTAGAAAGTTGAGAGTTTAAAAAAAATGCATTGGCATGTGGGTGGGGTTTACTGAAGCATCTAATTACGTTTGGAAATTGAATACAGGTTCAGGATGAGCCTGGTTAAGCACTTCTTTTAGTTACATAGAATGACTGACCATATTTTCACAGCTGGAATTTCCTCCTTTTTTTTTTCAGTAAAATAACCAGCTTTTGCTGCATTCCTCTTTTAATAGTCCAGAAGAGTGGCACCACAAAAGAATGTCACATATGAACACTCTGTATTTCTTTTACATCTGAAGTTTTCTTTATAAGTACTTTTATTCTAACAAAATCTCAGTTGGCACAAGTTGTACATATGCATTCTTCACATGCTTGGTCATTGTTTAACAATATTTAATAGMATTTACAGTAATTATAAATATCTTGAGCAGTGTTTTCATGGAAAATATATGCTATAGAAAAGAGTTTGGCTAAAATTACATTTTAAAATATAGCTGTTGGGTCAAATTACCAAGCCATAGTAGAGTTRGAAGTATGTAATTACTATGTAATAAAAGCATTCTCTAGTTATTATTATGTAAATAAAGCATACATACTTTGGAATGGATCAAACTTTACATACTGTTGACTTTGATTAAAGAATCTGGCATGCATCCTAGCCTTGTGTAAATCAGTATGTTCCATTTGATTTTAAGGAATTTGGGCATTCTGCACCAGCTGAGGAATTATCATACTAATTTTAATGTCACTTAATGCCTTGCTCAATTCTTTAAAAACAAAGCCATCTTCACCATTCAAGAATATTGGAAGAGATGCCCATTTACACATTAAGAGAATAATTTCATCCATTGCAACTGTAAGCATGTTCTTTTGAATCACATTAAGGAATGGAATGCATGTGCTTAAGTATCAGACACTATAAAAAAAACTTCATTAGGCCCTAAACAATTAGATCAGAAGAATTGTCAGCTGCATAACAGTGTGCTTGCAATCATTATAAAGAAAGAAAGAAAGAAAAAAACAACAAAAAAAAAGGAGTTCTTGAAGGACAGAGTTTTGCTGATAGTGGAAACTTGACCTAGGGCCAATTGACAGAAACAGAGGTCAACGCACCTACTGAAGCCAAATTTATCTAAAGAGCATTTCTATTAGGAAGTAGAAATTTTAGTATCACAACATGAAACTTAACATTAAAACTTCCCTGAAACAGCCCTCCCTGCAAGGGGAGAACTTGGAGAAAAAAAATGTAGGATAATTTCCATTTTCTTTATGTACCATTGCTTAAGCCATACAAATATGCAAGGTCAGCAAGAGTTGCAGCTGGGTTCTAATGTAGAAAACAAACTGAACTTCACATTTACTTTTAATACATGAAAGCAAAAAAAAAAAAAAAGTAAATGCAACAATACTGCCAAAATATTACTGCAATGACAACATGCCTTAAAAGTTTCAATGTGAAAGTATGAACATTTTATCTGTAACTGTGTATCTAAAACTACAGAAACTTAACATGTGTACAAAGCCCACATTCCTGTAAAAACATGCACCTGCAGAAAAGAGCTGAAAGTTCTTGTTTTCAAAAGCATTAATTAAAAATATAGACAATGATGTAATTGGACCCTTTAATAATGTCATAACTGAAATACGTAAAGTTCTCTGAACAGAAGTGAAATTTAAGACATGTATCTGCAATAGTTTACCCTTACAGTTATCTAGGTAATTGCAACTATTACATACAGCCATTTTCCAGATCACATAAAATTGCATGTTCAGCAATTTATAAATAATTCTCAGTTCTAAAATAATGTTATTGAAAAGTGCACAATATTCTCCAAACCAGAAGCAGACAATACACAGTAAAATAAAACTCAAAAATGATTTGAAATAGTAATAAAGATTTACCTTCAAGAAATCACAAAAGCAGCACTTAACTAATTGTGTTGAAAGACTGTTGATTTTTTCCATTGCTTCTTAAAAGTGCAAAGTCTGGAAATGAATTTGTTAGCAGTAATGATGAGAAAAAAGAAATCCAGAGAGATGTGAGATGTTGAGAGCAATGTCACATTTCAATATTGAGGACTTTATTCCATTGCGCAGGCTCTATCTGCTCTGATTTTAGCAGTGACAGTGAGATTTAGCAAACAGAAGAGGGATTTAGAGAAAATCCTCACATTTATCTACATTACACAGACACTGTAGACAGGAAACAGCTGGGGGAGCATTTGCCTTCTCTCTCTCTCCCTCTTCTGGCAAAGTTACCGAGTAAGGACTTTTTTGGGCATGGTGACAAATAACATCATACCTTTGCATTTTAAAACTAGAGCACAGAAGCATATTTTTTTCCCTTTAAAAGAATGTGCATTAGTGACTGAGGGGTTMGAAGACGAAAAAGCTTATGCTGCCTTGAAAAATAAGAAAATGTATTCTGGTTAACTTTCAGATGACTGTGTGTATCTGTACGTGTGTGTGTGTGTTTAAAATATATGCAAATATATGTATATAGGGTATTGTTAGTATATTTGTATACCTGCATATTCATGTACATGTATTTTATTTATGTGTAAAGACACAGGCATTTTATTTATATAATAGAGACACGCAGCTTTCTATTTTCTTATGCATGTTTACGTTATTGAACTTGGCACACCTATATGCTGAGTAACAATTAAAAACTCCATCCTTCTGTGCTATTAACCCTGAAATGGCAGGTTTTAATTTGCTAAAAATAAAAGGATTGCTGAACATTGCTTGTAAATAGGGCAATATAAAATAGCTTCATGACCCTTTAGCAACCATACTGGAGAAGTTATATCATTTCTCAGAATCTATAGTGCTATGAATGTAATAATACAAGTAGCCTAGTTTGGGGGACTGTTCCATGACTTTAATCCTAAATGTTCTGTTATAATTATGAGGTGATTTCCCCCTTTTTTATCAGTCATCTTCCTAATTATTCTTGATAACAATTTAAATGACCCTGAGAGAAAGAGAATTCAACTTTGCTTATTCTGTAATACCTAAGTTTTGCCTTTTTATTTTTCCTCAATTATGAGCATATTATAAATAACACCAGCTGGCCAGCAACATGCTCTCACGGGTTATGATGTCATTCAAATCCCTCAACTGTGTTAGTGGCTTGCAATGTGCTCCAAGCCAGCTGTTTTTCTATTTATAATGTATGCTTGCATTTCAATACTTAGCCATTGAGAATGAAGTTGTGATGCTATTTTATGGATACAATTTGTACTTGTTACCCTTTCATTTTGGAAGGTGGCAAAGGAGATGATTAAACCAGGCTACAACTCCAGAGACCAAATACATGTCAGAAACAGTGGATAATTTCTGTAAAAACTGTTTCAGAACATTGCATTTTGTCCCTGTCCCTTTCCACACACTGATAGTTATATGTGGAGGTGCTAGCTGTACTTTGGTTATTGAAAATGATGACTGAGATCACATTGACCCAGATCCATTCTCAGTTTYCAAGTCCACCTTGAACTGTATGGTACTTGCCAGGCAGAAAGGACATATTTAATTTGAATGGCTAATACTCTGTTCTGTGTAGTTTTAAATGGTGTATGGTTAGCTAAGCTGATTACTCTTTGGAAAGGATTTCTTTCTCCTAATGTAGTATGATGGCAAAATCACTGCAGGGGGGAGTTGAGGTAAAGTTGTTTAGTTCAAGTAGTACCGATATTTAAAGTATATTCTTACAGGCATTTTTATTACAGAAATTATATTTTAATATCTTGATATATTTTATTCTTCCCTTTCAGTTTCTGAGATCTGATTTTTCACACAGCTTGACATACCTTGCTATAACTCATAGTGTATTTATCACTTATTTGACCATCCTACCGGATGAATTATGGAAGAGAAATGATCAAAGCTCTGATTGCCTGTATTTCTGATTCTTACAGGACTATAGATGATATGCGCATTTCCTCTTTTTCTCAGAGACTGAAAGTTGTAATCCATTTATTACTCACTTCCCTTGGCTCTGCTTCAAACCATTTTTTACTTCCTCACTGCTTGCTTTCTCCTATGTTTTACAAGACTTAGCAAAAGTAGGAAGAGTATTAAGAGTAGCATAAAAATGGCATCCATGATCACAAAAGAATCATGATATCTTTATATAGCAACTAATCCTGCTTCTTTCCATGGAGCCATTTTGAACTCCTATACTTATTCCACCCATCAAGGTTAAGTTTCTGATGCACTGAACCTATAGAAATAGGTTCTCGTTTTAAAGTGGTATTGTGAAAAGGTAGTAAAGCAGGATAGACTCAAGAGAGGTGTTTTTTTGATAGTTATTTGTTTGAACTTAAACAGTGTAGTGCCTTTCCTCACTGTTAAATTAGTCCTTTTTTTCCTAGAAAAGTAGATATTCCTCAGGATGTATKTATCTGGAAATCACTCTTTTCCTTGATAGTCAGCATCATCAATATAGGAGTCTGATAACCAGTGGATATGTGTCCATTCCTTTCTCGCTAATTATGCCCTTTGTTGCTAATTGTGCTAATTATATTTTTTGCTAATGGTACTTTGCAACCTACGTAGTTACCTCTTTGTTAACTCTGCCCCATTGAATAAATGCACCTGTCAACTATAGAGTTTCTGGAAGCCATAAAAGATTCATAATASATGTCTAGGTCAGAACAACCTATTTAACTGGAGTATGCATATTTATTCTAAGTTAAAAGATGGTGATGTGGGTATCCTTCACATGTTATAAGACTTAATATGTGGTTATGCTCATTTGTCAGTTTCTTTTCAATGAGAACTCCATTTTATGCAAGAGGGACTCTTACCCAAACTCTTACTGATTAAATTGTTTAAATTCTTCCAAAAAAGGTAGCAAACGTACCATAATGCCGGAAAAAAACTGAGCTATAATATGGAAAGAGTGTACAGTCTATTGAATCACAGCTACCTATATCTCACTATTTGTTATCTCTAACTAATTTTCCTTATAAGGAGCTTGCAAGTTTTCTGGAAGCAAGGTAGAAGCACTGTAATAGACTTCACCTTTTTAGGGCTCAGAACATGGTAGAAGATAAAATGAAAGAAGACATAAACACAGTGGCTGGTGAACACAGTGGCTGGCTATTCTTCATTATAAGAACATACCAGAAACAGAGACTTTTATTATGTTGTTTTAAAGAAATTCTCCCTGCCCAGAACATGCACAGAAGCAGAGGCAGTTATGGATTGTGAAAAGATGATTGATATATCTTGAGTATCTTTGGTAATGTTCCCCCTCCCCTTCCACCCCTGCCGCCACTACCATTAGTGCTTCCCGCAGAAAAAGCGGAAGACCCTTCCATAGGAACAACGCCTTACCAGTTGCCCCTTAGTTTACTGTCTGTTGACTGAATTCAGTGAATGGTGCCAGTGGGAACTGTATTTTCTGTGTCTTTTTTTTTTCTTTTTTGACATCCTGTTCATGAAATTAGACATTAAAGGCAGTGTTCATTTGGCTAAATCTAGGCATTTAATGTGTAGTGCTGTGGGATGTCCTGCATGACCTTCACCTTCTATTCCAGAAAGATACACATTTCCTATATTTCTTGTGTCATATCTGCTGACCTCATACAGATTTCTTGCATACTTTATGGTATCTTAAATGGCCTTCAGCACCATTCAGCACCAGTTTAGGTAACTAAACCCTGCCATAAGATCTTATAGCATTATGGTATGGGATTTATGCAGACCTAAATACAGTCTTGGGCCTAAGTATTACCTTTGGCTTCTTTGTAAATGGAGATAATATTTCTTCTGCCACTTACTATTTTTGTGACATATTCGTCCAGAAAAAGAGGTTTTAAACTGGGAGACACCACATTTGCATGGAGATTCAGCATGATCTGAGTGCATATTTTCCTTAGTCTCCTCTGTTTAGCTCCAGCTTAAGCTGTTTGGGATTGGAGCTATCTCTTTTTATTTGCTTCATAAATCTTTTTGCTTACTTCTAGATAAGATAAAAATGTTATTTACAATGTTATTATTGTTTTATGAAACACAAAAATGATTGTTTAGCTCATATAGTCTCTAGTGAATTATTTGCAAAATATTTTATGTTCACTATTGAAGAAGTTTAGCTTTCTCTCCTAGGAAGAACTTTGGAGAAAGGGGTAAAAGGGAATGATATTTTATTAAAATGGAATGTTATGTTGAAGTTCATGAAAGGTCAGGTATATAGTGGAAAATTCCCTTTATCAAGTTAAAAGAAGTTAGAGAATGAAGTCAGAATTCATCTTATTCCTTCATTTGAACTAACGAACTGTTTAAAAAAGGAAATCCAAGATACTTTTGTTCATGGTGGTATAATTAGCATCATCACTACATGAAAAATCAGGAACAAATTTAACTGTGAGGGTGAAACCATGTGAGTTGAATGATCATTGCACGGGTAGAATTGAAAGGAGGCCGAAAAGAAGAGTCGTTTCTCTACAGGGCAAAACAGGCAAAATTCAAGTTTCCTGATTAAATGATGGTCAAATAAATTAAAATCTCTCGTGTTCCCTGATGAAAAAAAAAAATGAAAAAAAAAAAAAAGGTTGTTTCCAAAGGGGAATGGATCTGTGAGAACCTTAATCCACAGTCTCTGCTTATGGGAAACAGTCGTAAAAACAAGAGATCTTGTTAAGAACATGTCAGAATTAATCCATGCACTTGTGAGCTGGTAGTAGTAAGAGTAGTATTCCTGTTCTGCAAAGTGAGAATAATAGCTCTGTTCACATCACCAGAAGGCAAAGAATTTCTCTATTGCTGGCAACTAGGATACACAGAAAGTTGTT